GTTTAGCATTGGAACTTTGTAGTTTTGGGGCTAGAAGAAGAAACAAAATTGAGATTACGTATTCTTGTTAATGGGACAATATTACTCCATTGTGCGCTTCATTTTCTTGGGACATGTTCTGCATTTTTTGGTTGAGTATAGTACAATACAAGTATTGTGGCAGAGAATGGGACATATATTAGAGACACTCCGTGGACAGGATGACGTTGCTCTGACTGTCCTTTTCATAATGAAGAACCCATGTGTTCCATTCACATTTCCCCTCGAACTTTTCGTGGATGTTTATAGCAACCCCAAGTCATAGATAGAACGGTTGAAGAACGGGAAAAATGAAGTACCCTCTGGTAAACTAACATAGCTATTGAAAATGGCCATTTATAGTGGATTTACCCATTAAGAATAATGATTTTCCATAGCTATGTAACAAATTACCAGAGGGTAAATGTAGGTACTGTAAATATCATCTAGACCATCCTGGAAGATGACTATAAATAATTATTTGGGGATTATTTGAGCTATAGAAACACCCAAAAGTAATCCTGGAATATTTACAAATAATATAATATAATCATCAGTCACCTTTCCATCATCTTGGCATTTCGACACCTGTTGGGACACAGAACAAATCAGCATCGGACACCATGGCTGAGCCATGCTGTGGCTAAAGTCCAAATTATATGTATAACTTTTTCCACTGTGATTATATGATATTATATATGTATATCTATATATTGCATATATATATGTATACATATGCACATATTTATAATATGTTCACACCATCTAAGATGTGTATGCTACAGATTCTTGTGATGCTTCACCCCAGCCTCGCAGGTGCAAACAGAGAGCTTCATTGGCAGCTGTGAGCTCCTTAGTGTTTTTTTTCAATATGTGTCAGCCACAGGATTGGCTTAAGGGAAAACGGAAACCTAAACAAACACACACACACATATATATACATTCACACGCGTATATACACATAGTATACGTACATATGTGTAAGGAGACATAAATAAATAACTAAATGAATATATATATATATATACAAGTGCACAGCAGCAACTACACGCATTTCTGATTTTCCCTTAACGTATTGAGTTGGATGGTGAGCCATCTCGAGCCTATAATGATCATTTGCCAAGGAGGGCTATCCGAAGTCAGAGTCCCAGCATTGCGCCCCCCTGTGGGATGGAGGGGACCATATACGCACCATGATATACATGCCTACATACATATAGTAACCCTGAAAACTATAGAACAGCAACGTCAATTAAGATCCTATAGTGAGGAGGTATGATAAGTGACTTTTCTATTTTTTTTCGGTTGCCATATGTTAATATATATATATATATACATATGCATATATGCAATATTAGCATTATTATTATTTCTACTATGATTGCCATTATTATTTTCACTATCATTGTTATTGCTATTTTTCTTATAGTTATATATATATATATTACATACCATTTATTCTGGGTTGTTATTTTTGTCCGAATAAATCGCCTATCCAACGTTCCCAAGGCGGTCTGTGAAGTCTGCGCCAGGGCCAGGCTCCAAGGAGAAGGAAAAGGGTCATGAGATATGGAGCTGATATACACAGTGTTTATCTTTATATACAAAGACATAAATGCAAATACATATATTTTGAATATATATATAGACATATGTGCACATACATATACATATATACATATACATATATACATAAATATACATATATATATACATATATACATATATATACATATACATATATATATATAAATTATGCATACCTATGCTATATGCATAAGTTTCATACATATGTGTATATATATATATATTGTATAGTGACAATAATGATTGTGATTCAGCACGCTAAATTCATAGCATTTGGCAGGTTGAACTTATTGCCGGTTGGCCCTAACCGTTTTGAAGTAGTTCCGCTTATCCCGCGGTCGGTGCCTAGATGTGCCAAAAAATGGGTGAATCAATTTGTCTAAGTACTTTCTTTGATGTAACTTATTTTCAATGTATTTTTCTAAGATTTTCTCAGTATGTTCTCTTTCCACATATTTTGGTAACCTTAAAGAGGCGCCTGGGATCGATCGGGGCCGAGGTGTCACAGCCCTTCTCCAACTGAGCCATGCCCTTCCTGTCACCGGCAGATCGCTTGTCATGGCCTACAATCTCATTACCAGAGGCGCTTGCCAGAGGTTTAGCCTCTGGTCATTTTCATTGGATTGGTTTTTAACGGAACATTTGCAGGTTTTCCCCCTATTTGATGGGGAAAGCCATGGTTGCCGGTGACGATTGTCCTTTTTAACCATTCCAAAATCACCATTTCTAAGAGGTAAACTGTGAAATAGCCAGAGGATATTGCTTGGTGGTTTCATTTATTTGCCAAGATTTTTCCACCAAAAAATGGGGGTTGTAGCCACCATGATATACATACATGTATATGTCTGTCAATGATATCACTAGCTTGTAGTTTCAAATGTTTCCTATTTCCTATGTTCAATTTCCGATCCTGTCCCCAAGTTGATCTTATTCCAAAGCCTTTCCATGTTTTTGGTGGAACGAAACCATGACGAGGATCATCATTTTTTTGGAAGACACCCGGTGGCGAGAAAGGGATGACTCTCACTGTCCACCCTCATTGAGGTGTAGGAAATGGACAGAGATTCTTGAAGAGAAGACGTTGGCTGCCCAGACTTTTTTCGCAGTTTGGATTGTGATGTGGAGCTATGATAGCTATGCATATAGCTATGGTTTGACTATCCTAGCATGGCATGTCCCCTTTGGCAATCTTTGGGAAATCTTTGGGAGCTAGCCGCCACGGGGAGTGACTAGCCTACATGTACTTTTGTGTAGACTGCCAGCTGTTGTGCATGGGTTTCTTCAAATGCGAAGTATACTAAGAATTCCATAGAATTCCCATCTATTCAGACATGCATAGCCTAGCCACATAGGATAAAACACCATAAAACACCAACATTTGGCCTGTTCCAAGGGCCCCTTCTGGGCAGAGTCTAGGCATTTCACGGTCTCCCAGGCGTCCAACGTTACTTCAGAACGACCGAGGCGGGGCTTGGGGCCTTGGGGCTTGCCAGATCTGCCCCCGTCACAACATCCAGCGGCGTGGTTCCACGGCCAGGCAAAGCGAAGAAGTCGGATCTTTCTCAGGTCCCGGGCTGAAAAGACTCTGATGAAAAATTGGAATCATTGTGGTGCGAAAAAATTGGTGATGGGGATTCGGAGATTATTGGTGGTAGAAGCTGGTAGAACAAACTTGGCATTCACCATGAGACGTCGTTTGCCTTGTCGTTTGCCCTGACATGCTGAGTCCAGAGATTCCAGTGATTTGGGTGAAGCGCCCTTGAAGTGTGACACCTGCTTCGTGCCCGCCTCAGATGGTATCAAGATTTATCAAGATGTATCAAGATCTGTAGTACAAACTGTATTCTGTTTGGATGGACCATCATCGAGAGAAGAGACCGAGACTGAGACTGGTTGATACTTCTTTCATCTGCTTTCCATGCGGGGGTCAAAATTCAAAGCACCGGAGCTAATGAACACGGTTACCCGGTGACCCCGCCTTGAGCTGGGCAGCTGGGGAAGAGAACTTCCTCTTGAAATGGACAATTCTTCAGTTCTCGGAGTCTAATGCCTTGTGACATGTATCGAAAGACATTGCCAGATATTACAAGTGGACTATTACATTATCAAGTGGATATTCAAGAATATTCAAGATATTATTATATATTATATATTATATTATATATATATATGTAATGTCTTTAGGTCATTACACGTTGTGACTTCACCGACATGTGACCGACTCACTGCAGATTCCAGCGCCCGCCATCGCGCACGGCAAAGCCGGCAAAGCCTGGGCCTTTTCTGGGCCTTTTCAGGTATGAGAACCCCCGATTTTTGGCCCTGGGAATAATTAATCACCATTCATTCTGTGGTAATTGGATGTAATTGGCATTTTTTCATTGTCAGATCAACACCTGTGAGATACCATGAAATAGCATAGCGAACTTGACCCAGACCCACTTCCTGGCCATTTATCCATTTCGTGGATGGATCTTGGTGGGGATGAATGGAATTATTCACTCAGGCTCACGCACACATGTACAAAGATATTGCACTCATATACAAAGGAATACATGTACCGGTACACTGTCAGGCTGTGTGAGTGATGCACTCCCCATCTAAATGGGACAAGCTCAAGCACACCAACCACACACATACTAGATAATACTAGATTACTAGATAATTAATAAGTAAAGAAATACACAACAAAACGAATCAACAATTCATCAACTGCCCTATTCAAACATATTCAAACCATACCAAACCATACCAAGCGTAGGCATTTTTTCAAATCGCCACAGGTCGTGGCCGTCGTGGCGCACTGAATTTCGGGCCGCACCACCGGACCAGGGCCGGGGCTTGGTGAAAGACTCCCAGTTTTTTCCCTGGAAAGATGCAGAACTTGGTGGGATTTCTATGGATTTGTGCCAGATGAAAGGGGAATCTGTAATGTTTTTGGGAAAAAAATCATTTCATATCATTTCCATTCATTTCTCATTTCCATGTCTGTGACTTGATGATTTTTGATCTCCAAGCCAGGCGTTTTTTGTTTGTCTTGGCCCTTGCCGGTGTCCGTCTCACCATGCCTTCAAATGGCCTGCAGAGAGTGTAGAAAAATGGCGACAGGCGGTGCTTCAGCTGGTGCCATTGAAAGACATGAAATATCATGAAATTCTGCCATGGTTTTGGTTGTTTCAAAAACTATCGGCTATTTATCATAAAATGTGGGGCCCCCAAACGATAGCTAAGTTGGTGCACATAACTCCAATAACTCTGGTTTATGAATGTTTATGATACACAAATAACTATAGTTAATGGGATTTATCGTAAAAGGTTAATGGTTGCGAGGACTCTTCCAATGTTTTTTCGCAAAAAATGGGCTCTTGAAATCGCTGATCGCCTAATCCGGCGAGGCGATTGCTTCTGACTTACCACGTTTGAATGCCTCAAAGGCTTTGGCTGCACGGGTGGAGGCCCCATCTCGAGGGTTGGCTTCGGCGAAAAAACGCGGAAAACGTGGGTTTTGGGCTCCTAAAGTCCGCCGCAATGGTTGAATCTGTGCATATTTGCAGTTGAAGTGTTGCGTACATTGGATAGGATTGGTTAGGTAAATGCGTTTGCAAAATCTTCTCTGCCAAGTCGAAGCCTAAACCAGTTCAAGCCTCCCCAAAGTTCCCCACAAGTCTCCATCCAACTCACCTCAAGTCCCCATGTCCCCCCTTTTAGTCCCCGGCCGTCAAGTACCCAGTAGAATCTGAATGGTTCAATCTGTACCCTCTGGTAAACTAACATAACTATGGAAAATCACCATTTTTAAATGGGAAAATCAACTATAAGTTTACCAGAGGGGACATGGGAATAATTGATGTAAATTCTTCAGTATGTGCATAAGTTACATAAATGTGGGCAAAAAAGTGAGTCGTTTCAGTGGCGAGGCCTTCCCGGTCCTGGAGGGTATGGGAACATGGTCACAATGTGAGGTCACGAAACTGGTTACGAAATCAAAGGGTCGGTACTGTTGAAGTTACCCAGGAAATCCTATAGGAACATGAACTTATAAACCATAGAAGAAAAACTGTTCTTGGAGAGTTTGATTTTGAATATTTTGACCCAAAATGAAGATCTTGGAGTCATTGGGTAGTAACCTACTACCGTAGTAACCTGAATTTTCCAGGAATGGGATAATCCGGGATCGAAACAGGCGGTGACCACTGGGTCGGTGGATGACAGCTTTCGTTATTCAAAAAGGTACGATTGAACTCGTTGAAACGATTCAAGTAGTTGAAGACCCATCAATTTCAATCAATCTCCGTGAATTTCACAGCATGATTTTGGGTTTTACCATGGTTTGCTATCCATTTCTACTCCATTTCTGTTTTTTTTGCCGCATCCGGTCAGGCCCTGCCGGTCCTGAAGTTGGGGCACCACCGGTCTAAGGAGGTGCTTCAAAGGGCCTACGTCTTGCTGGGCTCGCTGGAAGCCCAGTTTTCGACTGGAAATTGCCAAGGATTTTTCCCATGGTGTTACCGCGTTACCGTGAAAAAATCCGAACGTGTTAAAAACAAACTCCACTTGACAGATGGCTGGTAATTAAAGGATACATTCTGGCTTTCTTGAGTTTTCCGAATAAAGTGGCTTTTGGATCGATCATGCTGATGAAAGAAACGGTTTCCCATGAACAACAAACATCAATATGATTCATGTTGTTTTTTGCCGATTCATCACTAGATGTTTCTCTGCTGTCATAGTTGGTCGAAAGAAATCAGCGATTGCCCTTTGGTGATCTTAAACATGACAATTGAAAATCCACCATTTATAGATTCTTTAAATGGTTTATAAATGGTATTTATAGATATTTAAACATAATTTATGGTATTTATAGATTCAAACATATGCCTTGGTCGTTTTTTTCCCATCAAAAACCTCTGCGATTTTCCCATGAAGAGTTGGGATATTTCCCCATGGTTTGGTATGACACCAGAGGGTAAATCCATTAATTATCCCATTTTTTTATTCCATGATTATCCCATTGGTTATCCATATAGAAATTCCAAGATCATTCCATTGATTATCCATATAGAAATTCCATGATTATCCATTTATCTCGTTACTTACCCTCTGGTAAACTGTTACATAGCGAACTGGAAAATCACCATGCTATTAATGGGTAAATCCACTATTTCTATGGCCATTTTCAATAGCTATTTTGACATAACCAGATGGTAAACCTCCATTTTCCTATGGTTTTCCTATGGTTTTCCTATGGTTTTCCTATGGTTTTCCTATGGTTTTCCATAAAAAACCGCTAATTAAACCAGATCAAATCGGCACTGGTGAACTGCTGAGGCTGGTGCACTCCTATGTACACCGTGCCGGCCTCGGAGAGCCCATCAAGCTCGCTGGATGATTTGAAATGGAACATCCTATTTGAATGGAAACCTCCACAAACACACATATAATAACATATATATATATATAAACATATTGATAGATAGGTAGGTAGGTCGATAGATAGATTAGATTAGATTAGATTAGATTGGATTGGATTGGATTAGATAGATTAGATAAGATAAGATTAGATAGATAGATGCCTCCCGGAAAAAAAGGATATGTCAGAATATCGATCAACATATATCAACATCGATCCACAGGGCCAGATTTGGCTCTTGGCAGGTCACGAGGTGCCATGGCATTGCTTGGAAGCAGGCAGGAGCGAATCGGGAATCTTAGGGACCAAGGCTGTGATAAGTCCCTGTGAAACCAAAAAGGTCCAAAAGAATTCAGAGGAATTCAGCTATTTTTTAACATGACATTGGGGCATGTCATGTTATGTCATGTTATGTCATGGTATGTCACTAATTATGTCACCGTATGCATCAAGGCAACTCTTTGGTGGGGATGACATGGGATGACATGGGTCGAGCCACAACCAGCAGCTCCACAGTGGTGCCACAACCGGAAAAGCGCAAGGTGCAGTGGCAGAGACCGATGGGAGGCCAGGAATCGAGAACTCGAGAGAGGCTGCAGTTGGTCTTGTTCTTGTTTTTGGGGGGAAGATCCATATTTGAATGCCCTTTAGAATACTTTGAAAAAGGCCTACCCTCTGGTAATTTAACGTAGCTATTGAAAATGACCATTCATAGTGAATTTTACCATTAAAAATGACAATTTTCAATAGCTATTTTGACATAACCAGAGGGTACTGTATCCCACTCAATTTCTCGTGGGCCGAAGATATCTCCATACCCATTTATGGTTGAAGGATGAACCCGAGAGGTGGTTGCAAGCCCTATTATGTGGGCCCTGGGCGGCCCATCGTTCCAGTTAGGATAGGCCTTGCCCATCAATACTGCGACACCACATTACCACCAGCCATTCCCAGCCAAATATATCACAGATTCATACAGATTCCAATTTTCTGTGACCAAACCTTCGCAACTGATACTGTGGAAGAAATATGAAGAAATCCTGCGTTGATACTTGTGGTCTATCATGGTTTATCCCCTTGTTGATACTTGGGTTTCAACATGTTTCAACCATCCCAGCTTGGTGGTGGATTTCGCAACCACCCACCGTATGGTGCAGACCGCTGCCAGGAAAGTGCCGAAAGCCCTTGCGGAGCCGTGGCTGGAAGCAGGAAGCCCAGAACCTTTTTTGGCATGGCTGCATACAGCATGATGCCATGATGCCTACATGCATCGATCCGAATGAACATGCATACATATACCCCATATGCATACATGCATACATGCATACATGCATACATGCATACCTACACACCTACCTACCTACCTACCTGCCTACCTACATACATAGATAGATAGATAGATAGATACATAGATAGAAACATAGATAGATACATAGATAGATACATAGATAGATACATAGATACATACATACACACACACATGTTTATTTTTATATATATATATATACATATTCACACTCACACACATACATACATATATAGATATATTTGTTTTAAATATACGCATATATGTACACACATTTATATATATATGTTTACATATGTATATGCATAGATATGCAGTGTGTATTAACATTTAAGTTCTTGCCAACCTTGATGTTAATATATGTTGATGTTCTGGTAATGCAATGTAGTGCAATGCCATATAATGTAGGTGGATATAGATACACGCGTCCCCACTCTCTTGTGATTTGGATGCCACCCATTTGGCATATCAAGTGCCAGCTGGAAATGGTCGGATTCGATCAGTGATAGTTTTGATGCGTTGGATGCTGGGGCTGCTGGATAAACATGACTGATTAGACCATGAAGCCTTGAAAAACCTTATGCGCAAATTCATGAGATTTTGACTGTTTGGATTCGAAAGACTGATATAGGAATGATGAGAGGAGCACAATCCTTCTCCCTCTTTGTTGCTCAAGCAAGGTGCAACCTCAAAACCCTAAAATGACATCAGTATAGTTCTGTACAGTTCATACTTTGTAAGGGACAAGCGGCTTTGAAATTGTTTCATATCATCTCAAGATTCACTGCCCACGGGGGTCGGATCAATTCGTCAGACTGGTACTGGAAAGTCCCCGACGTAGGTCTGTCAGCTGCTGCGCGCACCGCCGGTTTTAACCGCTGCTGCCACGGATCTGTGGAATTGGCGGAAGAAGGATGCAGCGTTGGGGTTCGATCCAGGCGCGCCATTTCTGCCGGTTTTGAGTCCCTGGCTGCCGGTTTTTTTCCCCAGCGAAATGCCAAATGGCCATGTTCGAAAACGGGGCATAACGGCCTCATTTCTAGGAACACCACCTGATCTTTGACTAATGATATGCTAGTCATCAGCAATTCCCTTCTGGTCATGCGGCTTTGGGATTCCAAAGCAAGCATTGGTTGAGAATCGGGAGGTCTAAGACAGGATCGTGACAGATCATTTCTTTCGGTGGGAAGAGGAGGTTTTGCTATATATATAATATTATATAATATCATATTATTGCTTCGGTCTCATTTTTTCCCTGATTTTCCCATGTCCTTTTTTTTTGATTCTTTGCCTTGTATTACACTACAGTAGATTAATCTATGGTATTTAACACCTGGTATTTTACATTAAATGGTGTTTGTATTGTATATGCTGCTATATTATATTTGCTATGTTCTTTACTGTATAATTATTATACTCTTCTATACCCGCTTCTATGACACGAGGGTATATGATATTGTATCATTTTTAGAATGTCATATTTTAGGTTACAGATGGTTACAGTATATTGTATATATATTATATATATTATATATATATTATATATATATTATATATATTATATATTATATATTATATATATATTGTATAACTTGGGTGATGCCTTGTGGCGTAGCTTGAACCCTCCTTGGGTTTTCCCCACCAGCGGAGCCGCAAACGATTGATTTTTCAGGCAACCTGGAGCAACGCATCTCCCTGACCGGCACAAGCTCCGAACGGTGGGACCGTTGGTACCGCAACGGGACCGTTGGACGGTCGATGGCCGGGTCGGTGGGTCCAGTGGTTACTTGGGCTTTTGGCACACCTTTGGAAAACCATAGGAAAACCATAGGAAAACCATAGGAAAATGGAGGTTTACCCTCTGGTTATGTCAAAATAGCTATTGAAAATGGCCATTTATAGTGGATTTTCCCATTAAAAATGGTGATTTTCCATAGCTATGTTAAATTACCAGAGGGTATATACCTCATCACATATTGATCACCTATGTTTAGCAGCAATATATACCAGGTATGTGCCTGGTATATATTGCTCAGGACAGTATACGCCGGGGTCTATATAAGACTAATGTCAACCCGGATTAATAAACCATGGTTCATTAATTAGGGGGTAGCCTCTAAATAGTCACAATATATGGTACATAAATGGTACCCTCCCAATTAAACAGCCGTAAACGGGGTTTATTAATCCAGGGTTGACATTATAACTCATGGATTTGCTGGGATGGATTCGAACTGCCTCAAAAAACGAAAGAGACGGCCCGATTGCCATTGCAACCTCGCTGTGCGTAGCCCGACCCATGCTTTCCATCACCATTTTCAAGTCCCCCAGCTGATATTCTCTGGATGTCACCAAGTTCAGGCAATCCTTGGTGAGTTTTCTGTGAAATCAACATCAATCAACACCGCTCAACCTGGGCTGGTAAAAAAACACCACTTTCAAAGCATCAAAAACGACGCCCACTGGGGGCCGCCATCCGCTGCCGTGGGGGCCACGCCCTGCTCCAGGGTTTTCCACATGGTGCCTTGTGCGATGCAAGCGGCTGCCAGCGAGGTGGGACTCCTGAAGAAGTTGGCCGTTTACGGCACTACAATGATAGCCAGGTATCATTGTCGTTTGAATATACGTTTGATATATGTTTGTAATATAATTTACATATATTAATATATATATATATTTAATACATATTAGATATTCAATAGATTACTCCTCGTAAAATGATGTGCAACATTTATAAGTATGTAGATAGATATGCTATATATATAATAATATACGTATCCGTTTGGGTTTATTGCCGGAACATAGCCCTGAATATCTCCGCTAGTGGTTTTAAAGATGTTGTTACTTTCTAGCCCTATTTGTGAAGATGATCCTCAATTTCACAATAGTTTGGGAGGTGGATTCAGAGTTATTATCCAGAACTTTTTTTTTGAATATGGAGAACTATCACCAAAATCGGATGGGTGAGCACACATAGGGTTCAGACTTTGAGGTCTGTCAATTTTGAGCCATACCCATCGATAGCGCGACCGCAGTTCCGATTCCAGTTAGACCATGTTCTGTTTTGAATGCATCAATCCATATCAACCCATCAGCTTGTTGAATGGTCGGTGTATGCCCCATCAGTGGAAACATCCATGGGCACTGGCTGGATCTGGCTGGTGATTCCGCCACCCAACGATTATATTGGCCAACTGACAAGATGAGGTTGTACATCAAGAAAAATGAAGAATAGACTTGAGAAGCTTGGATATACCTTTCCGTACACTAGCATAGCTATGGAAAATCGCTATTCTAAATTTTTAATTGGTAAATCAACATAAATCAACTATAAATAGACCATTTTCCATAGCTATGTTAGTTTACCACGTTCTGTCAGTATGAAGGGAAAGGGGTCCCGGTTCCGTTCAGCGCAAAGAAACCCCGCATTTCATCCCGCAGCCAATTGTTGCCTGCATCTCCTTAAACTTACATGTTCAGTCATCAAGTTTTGTTGCATCATCACTACTGATTTACTGTAGGTTTTGCATTGCATCTTGTTTGGCTTTGTGGTAAGCTGGATCATTATCACCTAGTTGTTTCAATATCTTCGAACAACCAGGGTAGTATATTATATCATTGTTGCTGTTATCATTATGTCTTTATTACCATCGTTGTTATGATTACCTTTTTTTTTAGTGAATGCATATATTGTTGACATATTATTGTCACATCATGTTACTACATGATATTTTTTCTAGCATTATTTCCCCCCCCAATTCCCAATTTTCGGTGGACTTTCCCCATGGAAAATCCCAGCCATGATTCTTCGGAGTTCATGGAGGTCCTCCATATGTTCGGAAAACTTTTCCAATATTTTTTCATATATGTTCCAGTATGGTTTTCCACGGATTTTTCCATAGTTTCCCCATATTTTTCCCATATTTTTCCATATTCTTCGACATCAATTCCCAATGTCAACCACCAGCATAGGGCACCCACTTCGCCTTCCTATCGGAGGTGGTGCCCAAGATCTTTCTGGCGGACCGCTTGATCGTTGGCAAACGTCAGGCGGGTTCTGGGAAAGATGATGGTAGGTACTAAAGTTACGAAAATATGCATAAATCACAGATATTCACAATCAATCAGATATATATATATATGATATGTGTATACGTGTGTGTATATTATATATATACGTATATATAGTTCGAGTGTTTTTTTAAATCTTTATTGGTGTGGGAGAGTGGCAAAAAAAAACTATATATATATATGTATGTATGTATGTATATATAGGGGCATATGGGAGTATATAGTAAGGGTATACAGGGGTAAGGGTGTATAGGGGTTTTTGGGTCATCCCCTGTGGGATGGGCGGTGATCATGGTGTTCCCCGTCCCTTTTCTGCGGGTGCGTGGGGCCCTGGGGGCTGGGTGGAGGACGGGTTCATATATACAATATACAGATAGATATGTACAGAAGTATTGATGCTGCATATGTATCTGAAGATACATGTAGAATATGTACCCTCTGGTAAACTAACATAACTATGGAAAATCACCATGCTATTAATGGGTGAATCAACTATTTCTATAGCAATTTTCAATAGCTATTTTGACATAACCAGAGGGTACTGAATAGATATAGTTGAACTATGTTGAACTTACTCCAGTGGCAATGGCTTGAGATAACTTGTCTTTGCGGTGCAGGAGGAACTTGCCTTGCTGCTATTGGAGGCGATGGCTGCACGATTTGTGTCGCGAGCGACTGGCTTTCCATGAAAACATGCTAGTCATCGTAGTTTCAGGCAGCGTACTCTCAAGTTTTTATTGGTTTCACATCCCAGAATATCCCGCAATACCCAATATGATGCGGCATAGGTGGCGGATGTTCTCGGCAGCTTCAAAAACATTTTCGCTCAGATTCCCAAGGGTTTGGCCCCTAGTGGTCTCCGGCGATTCTTGACCTTGAATTCGATTCGCAAAATGCCTAGGAAGTCCTAGGAATTATATAATGTTAGGAAAGCAATAATAAGCCACCTGTATTTTGATGGGTTATGTCACCCATCTATGGTACAATTGGGGATGGTGGATCAGTGGATCCTATTGCTTTAATCACATTACCTGTAGTGGAAATGACACATAGCTAATATTCAGATATATCCCTCCTTCCCTAATATTAAGTCTCCTTTATGTTCTTCGATTCAGAAATCCACGACTGAACCAGGCTTCACCGGGGCCAGTTTTGATAAAACAGGTGGATGGGATCAGAATATGTTGGACTTACCTCCAGTAAATTAACAGTTCGCCCCTGAAAATAGCCAACATGTACTAGAAACTAATCTGCCACCCCAAGATTTGGCGGGGTCTGTAAATTTACTGGAGAGTAAACATAACAAGGTGGTGCCCCCTAGATAGCTAAGTTATTTATAACTCCAATAACTATGGTTTATAGGTGATATATCTATAGTTAATGGGATTATAAACCAACTTATAACTGGGGGGCACCACCTTGAACAACCAAAGGTAAGTTGGTGTGTTACCATCTTGAGTTGAAGCTATGGCCCAAGGTGTCGACCCAGATGTGTTCTATGACATCTACCGTCCACTGCCGCTGGGGCCATCCATGGCGTTTGCCATGGTGTTCTATGCGTTTGCCATGCGTTTGAAGGGCAAATTCAACTACTAACAACTTTCATGGATTTCATGGATGATTTCGGGATGCAGATATCTAGATAGAAAGAAAGAAAGAAAGCTACATACACACACACACATATATATATATATAAATTACACACATACATGCATGGGGCGACATGTCGCAAAATCATGCCAAAAAATTATGGGCCTGACTTGGGCTATCTTGGGCTTGTTGACTTGACCGTTTGCGAAGAATCAGATCTGGATGAATGAGGAGATTCAATATGATTCAGAAAAAAACATGACTTACTCCATGCGAAAAACCATGTTCTACCTAGGATTTCCAGTTGCCAGGTTTCTTCCCAATCCAGGCTGAATGGCTTCCACCCTTCAGGGGTCATCATGGAAGTGGCCATTGGCTTAGCGCAAGATGCCTGCAGTTGATGCAAATGACCATGCAGAGTATACATGCATACATAACAGAACCTAACATAACATGATATGACATTACATTACATTATATATTATATTATTACAGTTACGTTTACATTTACATCTACATATCCATTTACATTTGCGTTTACATATATATATACCGTATTTACATTGCGTAAATTTCAAACATTATACAAATTACATTAAATTACATTACACTACACTGCATTCCATTGCATTAGATTGGTTTACATTGCATTAGATTGGTTTACATTGCATTAGATTGGTTTACATTGCATTAGATTGGTTTACATTGCATTAGATTGGTTTACATTGCATTAGAATGGTTTACATTGCATTAGATTGGTTTACATTGCATTAGATTGGTTTACATTGCATTATATAGATTGGTTTACATTGCATTAGATTGGTTTACATTGCATTGGATTGGTTTGCATTGCATTGCACTACTTTGCATTGCATTACATTGCATACATTACATACATTACATACATCACATACATCACATACATCACATACACTACATGCCATGCCATACATACATATACATACATTAGGTTACATTATTTACAATTACATTTACATTTGCAGCTACATGCGCAATTGCAATTTACGGCTACAAATGCAATTCCATGTTAAAATTACATAAAAAAAAACCTACATATATCTACATATCAATACTCATGAAATTCCATGTTTATTCCATGTTTTTAATAACATTTTTGATCCACATCTCTATTTTGAGGACCCCCAAAAAGCCGCAGACCTCCGCAGCACCCCGTGGCTCGGAGCGGAGAGCAGCTCCGTGCCGCGTGGCCCAACGTCATGGCGGAGCTCTGTCGACTCAAAGTGCTGGAAGTGCGCCCGTTTTCGGTGCGGAACATTTGTAGAATGTCCGCCATATGATATGTAGAATATATGGGTTGGTGGTTTCAAACATGACTTTTATATACTTTTATGACTTTCCAGAAATATTGGGAATAGTATGGAATAGTCATCCCAACTGACTAATAGCCATAGCCAGATGCTCCATGGTGCTGGAATATTTACCTACAGAACTGGGCAATTGTTGGGGTAAATATGTAAGTACATATTCCATACATGGAGCATCTGGGATATGATATAACTGGTTGGTGGTTTGGAACATTTTGTTGAATGATTGTTGATGACATTTGATGACTGAACTGATGATTATTGATCGTTGATAATTAAATTTATGATTATCGATTGATGATTGAATGAAGATATTGATCATGATTGATGATTTCATGCCAGAGCTTAACATGATCATTGATAATAACTGATTATTAGTGATTTAAAATGATTGATGATTATAATTTATAATGATTATATATTAATGATTGGTGATTTTTGATAATTATTGATGACTATTGATGGTTATTATTGATTGATGATCTTTGTAGAATGTTTAATGTGGGATTCACCAAACTTCAAATGATTTCATAAACGATCTCCACAAAATCATCATAGGAGAGTGGTAACCTACCATCCCCAAGTGGTAGATTTATTACTGTCTTGTCCACATTAAAGTTGGGCATTTTTGCCGAAACCATCCATTTGATTCCGCAAATGGCATGGCTGCGAGCGAGTCCCATGGTCCTCGGTGTTAAAGGGCAAAATTTTTAGGCCATGTTCGACATGACCAGGGGATACAAAGGAAGAAATATGTAGAAACGCCAGGTGCAGGTGCCCCAGGAGTTTTTGTTGGGGCAGGATCATTGATCCATGTTGGGACCCAACATAAGAGCCAGGTGAAGAGTTATGGAGTTCTGGGCCGCAGCAACAAAGAAAAAAAAGCAGATCCTCCTGATGAGGCCCCCGGGGGGCCCAAGATCCCTTTCGTGAATTTTCGTGATGAGGTGAAAACGGGTCAAAATCCATCAAAATCCTATTGCAGTTGGGGACGTTGGCGCACTTGGAACGTGCGCTTCATGAAATTTGACCGCCAAAAACTGGAACTTCAACCTTTCCCCAAAAAATCTCGAATCATCACAGTATAATCATCATCATGTGGGAAACCCAATGCCGTAAACCTACCATTTAGCGATCGTAAACATAACACCCTTAAACATGCTGATGACTTGGGGATGGCTTATGAACTTGGGTGAATTCCACATTAATCATTCTACAAAAATCATCAATAATCATCAATCACCAATTATTCATCATTGATAATCATCAATTATTAATGGTCATCAATAATCATGAATTATTGTCAATAGTCATCGATAATCATCAATAATCAGCAATAATCATCAACGATCAATAATCATCAACGATCCATAATCATCACTTCACTCATCAATCATTCCACAAAAAAAACAATACCCAAACTGTAATTTGTTACAGTTTGCTCTTGAAGCCATGGCCCATAGAGATAGTTGATTTATTTATATTTATTTAAAGATTGTGATTTCCCATGATTTTCCATGATTTGCCATGATTTGCCATGATTTTCCATGATTTTCCCATGATTTTCCCAGGATTTTCCGTGATTTTCCGTGATTTCGCCATGATTCCCCTATGAAAAAATGCTGAATTTTCCCATGGGTTTTGTGCAGGCGACCGTCTTGGTGGATCCGGCTGGGTGGCCACCTCAGGCCGAGTGGTAAATCATATGATAAATCAATGGTAAATCAATGATAAATCAATGATATGATATATGATATGATATTCATGATAAGTTTCTTAAAAAAAAACTGGCAAAGGATGGCATCATTCAGAATTTTGTCTGCGATTGAGTCAAAAAAACAGGGCCGTTGGAGCTCAAGCCGTCCGAAGTTTCATGGAGAACTAGAGGCAGAATTGCACAGAAGTCCACAGGATGTCAAGTGAGGGCCGCTACTATGAGGCAGAATTCCCTGAGATGGAGGAGATTGTCGTCGTGCAGGTGAAGCGAATTGTGGACATGGGCGCCTATGTCTCCCTCCTGGAGTATGACAATCAGGAAGGCATGCTCTTACTTAGTGAGCTCTCGAAGAGACGCATCCGTTCAGTTGCGAAGTTGCTGCGGGTTGGTCGGACAGAGATTTGCATGGTGCTTCGCGTGGACCAGGAGAAGGGCTACGTTGACTTGTCGAAGCGCCGTGTCGAGCCCGAAGATGCAACCGCCAAGGAGGAGTCTTTTGCCAGAGCCAAGGCAGTTCATGGCATCATGAGACACGTAGCCAAGACGCATGAGATTCCTGTGAATGAGCTCTGCTGCAAAGCATCGTGGCCCTTGTACAAGAACAAGAAGTACACTGATGCCTTTGATGCTTACAAGAAGCACATCAATGAGGAGATCAATGTTTGGGAGGAAATTGACTTTAGTCAGCCTGGCATGGACCTCACTGACAAGGCAGACAAGCTCAAAGAGGACATCGAGACGAACTTAAAGAGGCGCTTGATCCAGGCCACTATCCGCCTTAGAGCGAAGGTCGATGTCTCTTGCTCGGCCTACGAAGGCATTGATGCGGTGAAGGCTCGAGGATGCGCGAAAATCCCCGAATTGGCAAAAGGAGTAACCTTTGAATGAAGACCACGAAGATCATGAAGATAGCTATGCTATGCCATGCTTATTTTGATTGTAAATGTGTGATGATGTGTGGCTTCTGTTGAGAGTGGTTCGGTGCATGTTGGTAGCCTCTTTAGTTCGGGGTGCCCGCAAAAAGTCTTTGAAATCTGCTTCCATGGCTGCCAGGCTGCTTTGCAAGAGGGATTCAAAGCAAGCAAAGAAGAGTGCGAGATCAAGATCAATTTGGTCGCCCATCCTCAGTTTGTGCTCACCTGCGTCTGCCGTGATAAGCAGACGGGATTGGCAACCTTAGATGATGCCATTGAGAGGATAAAGGTCTCCATAGAAAGCCAGAAGGGTGAGTTCGAGCTCAGGTCCAAACCGGAGGTCATGGGTCAAGAAGAGAAGCAGGAAGAGTCCAGTGATGAAGGAGACTCAGAGGATGAAGAGGGCAGCGAGCAGGAAGCGATGCCTGAGTTGGACCAATCAGAACTTGATAAGCTCATGAAGATGAAAGTCGATGACGATGACTGAGCTTAAGATTGTCATCCTTTGTCTCGTCGTTGTAAGTCCAGCGAATTTCATAGATTTTGCAGCGCGCTCAACCCTGCAAGAGTCGGGTGTTGTCTCCATGACTCTGGATCGTGAAGGCCTTCTGTTCAGGCGGTTTGAGGAAGAAAACGATGCTTTTCGCAGCTCACTGGCGGTTTCAGATGCCAAAAATGCCACCTGGTGCCCCAACTTCTCCACGGATGGCATGCGAAAAAACTGTACTTACATCCCCAAAATCACCCAACAGAATGCAAGAAGGGAACTGGGCGCATATGGATGGTATGGGACATTATGGGACATATATCATATCATATTTAATATATATATGTATATGTGTGTGTGTATGTATGTATATATTTTATTATATATCACATATATATATATATATATTGCTAGCTAGATGCTTCTATAGCTAATCCTTCCTTTCATTACTTTCAAGATCATGGGTAGACCATAGCTGCCATAGCTGGGCAGCTGGCGAAACGGATTAGCCCTCCCATGACTTCAGAGCTACTCTGTCCACAGTCTTTGGACATCGGACGTCGGACATCAACTGGAGCCAAGTTTGGCTCAAACTTTGCCACTCTTGCCAAGTGTGCAGAAGGCAGGGGTGGCGCCTGCCCTGGCGTCAGGGGAATGGCTGCGGAGGGCCGCTACTATGAGGCAGAATTCCCTGAGATGGAGGAGATTGTCGTCGTGCAGGTGAAGCGAATTGTGGACATGGGCGCCTATGTCTCCCTCCTGGAGTATGACAATCAAGAGGTTGCGGGGAAGCATGTAGAAGCATTACACCAACTTTCCCTTTAGTGAGAATTGGCTGTTAAAATGGTACCAGTCAATTAAATAGCCTGGGGGCTAGGGGGCGAATAAAAGCCTGGGCTTAAGTGAACATTTCACAAGGATGCAGATCCATTTGAACAATTAATGTCCTGAAAGGACCTCACCCTAAATGATGGTGGATAGTGTCAGATGCCACCAGCAGAAAGGTCCTGAAATCAGGTTTGGATTCTTGGTGATTCAGAGCTTGATATAAGTTATAAGCCTGTTTTTGCATCTGACCTTCCAGGTCTTAGAGGGTCCTTGTAGGTTGTGGTTCAAACCCTGAAGGGAATGATGCTTCTAAGTGAGCTCTCCAAGAGACGCATCCGTTCAGTTGCGAAGTTGCTGCGGGTTGGTCGGACAGAGATTTGCATGGTGCTTCGCGTGGACCAGGAGAAGGGCTACGTTGACTTGTCGAAGCGCCGTGTCGAGCCCGAAGATGCAACCGCCAAGGAGGAGTCTTTTGCCAGAGCCAAGGCAGTTCATGGCATCATGAGACACGTAGCCAAGACGCATGAGATTCCTGTGAATGAGCTCTGCTGCAAAGCATCGTGGCCCTTGTACAAGAACAAGAAGTACACTGATGCCTTTGATGCTTACAAGAAGCACGTCAATGAGGAGATCAATGTTTGGGAGGAAATTGACTTTAGTCAGCCTGGCATGGACCTCACTGACAAGGCAGACAAGCTCAAAGAGGACATCGAGACGAACTTAAAGAGGCGCTTGATCCAGGCCACTATCCGCCTTAGAGCGAAGGTCGATGTCTCTTGCTCGGCCTACGAAGGCATTGATGCGGTGAAGGCTCGAGGATGCGCGGAAATCCCCGAATTGGCAAAAGGAGTAACCTTTGAATGAAGACCAGAAGATCATGAAGATAGCTATGCTATGCCATGCTTATTTTGATTGTAAATGTGTGATTATGTGTGGCTTCTGTTGTGAGTGGTTTGGTGCATGTTGGTAGCCTCTTTAGTTTGGGGTGCCCGCAAAAAGTCTTTGAAATCTGCTTCCATGGCTGCCAGGCTGCTTTGCAAGAGGGATTCAAAGCAAGCAAAGAAGAGTGCGAGGTCAAGATCAATTTGGTCGCCCATCCTCAGTTTGTGCTCACCTGCGTCTGCCGTGATAAGCAGACGGGATTGGCAACCTTAGATGATGCCATTGAGAGGATAAAGGTCTCCATAGAAAGCCAGAAGGGTGAGTTCGAGCTCAGGTCCAAACCGGAGGTCATGGGTCAAGAAGAGAAGCACGAAGAGTCCAGTGATGAAGGAGACTCGGAGGATGAAGAGGGCAGCGAGCAGGAAGCGATGCCTGAGTTGGACCAATCAGAACTTGATAAGCTCATGAAGATGAAAATCGATGACGATGACTGAGCAGTTTTGTTGGCTGCCAAAGACTGAGCAGTTAGACATCATGGAGATGTCCTCCATGGCCCGTGCCTCGAACCCAACCAGCCGAGCAAAAGCGGTGTGGCTTGATGCGTTTTTTGGGGGGGACGCGGCCCAGGGAGCTTGGACATGAAAACACTGAAGGATCATGGCTGCCACTGCAGAAGCTCAGGCTGCACCACATCCGCGGGGGTCCCTTTGGTGCTGCTGGCGCTGCAGGGGTAGGGTGCCCAATGGTGCCCAATGGTGCCCAGATGCGACCGGAGAGGTGGTGATGTATAGATCTTGACCCTCTGGCAATTTCACATAGCTATGGAACACCATGTTTACTGTAATAACTTAATATAATTTAATAATCTGTAATACGTAAATATATGATTATATGTAAATATGGTCAATCAATGTAAATCAATGTAAATCATTGAACGAAATGTGCCATGGCTAGAACTCTTTGAAATGAGATCCGGAGGGCCTCCGGAGGCTTCCCGTTGTCACCGCTGAAAAACATGATAATTGCCGAGGCCAACTACCAGTGGCTGGAAATCAGCGAAGCTGAGTGGGACTCTCAGACTCTCAGAGTTCAGCTGCTCCGGCAAGGCGTAGATTTGGTGTAGATGAACAGCCTAGCCAAAGGGCAAGAAAGGGCAGCGGATCCGATATCCAAGATCGAGTTGTGTGACATTTCACCCTGGAATGAGCAATCCCAAGATCTCCAAGTGAGACATTTCACCCGACGCCAATGATGCAATGAATGGTGAAGTTTCACGCTTTTTTTCCGGGGGAAGCAGCCCTTTTGTGCGACAAAATGTGAAAAATGTCAGGTGGCAACACGGAATATCCCGGAACATCTGGATGAATCAGCCACACCTGGCAAAACCATTCGCCTCCCCCCCGGATCTGAAGAGATTTTTGAGGCCCCAAAGGATTTCACATGCGGCGTATGTGGTCGGCCCCACTTTATGGCGAGAAATTTGACTCAAATGGCGATCAACTTGAGGTGCTTTTCAAGGAACAGTTTCAGACACACCCAAAATCATAAAATCAGTGATATATATATATATATATCACAGATATAGATAGATAGATTAGATTAGATGAGATGAGATTAGATTAGATCAGATTAGGATAGATAGATAGATAGATAGATAGATAGATATGATATGATATATACCATTATTTGCGCCTGACTTTCCCATGAAACCAACATTTTGTGACGTTTTTCCTCGCCGTCGATGTGCCGGCCTAGGGCCTTTCCAGAAGATGTTCAGGAGGCAATCACGACGGAATGCCAGGCAAAATACCATGCCTATGCAGTGGGGGAACCTGGGAACCTGACCGGTTGAGATCTGTTGCTGTTTAGCCGCCCTTCAGAATGGGAGTTTCACTGACAGTTTAACCCTGAAAAATGTGTAGAAACCATAGTATACGCAATGAATTGACTGGCAGTTTCAAGCTGTTTCATTGAGTTTTTTAAGACTCTTGAGCTGGGATGGTTTTCTCCTATGATCCAAGTCCAGCATGTTTGTCGGGGTGGTTTCACCACCACCCAGTCCGACAGTTTGTGTGTCACTTTGAGCAGGGAATGAAGGAAGCATCAAGTTTCTTAAATGAGATTGCAAAATAGATCCACTTTCTCACCATTTATTCTCACATTCTGCAAATAGATCTGTAAATATGTTGCAAAATTCATGGGAGATCGGTGGGTCACCGAGCCATGGAACAGTGCCGCCCAGGATGGCAAAAAGAAGTGCATCCATGTTGTTGGGCCGGACTTCCGCGATAGCTTTGATGACCCGCCAGCCACTGAGATCACTGAGATCACTGAGGGTGAACATCTACAAAGCTGTGATGTTAAAAACAAAGAACAGCCAAGGAAAACTATGAAAAACTGTACCAGAACTGTTGTGATGGGGCATGATGGGGCCATTCCTGATAGGATTTGTTGTTTTCCTAAGGATTTGCCGTAGAGCTTTCCAGGGTTTTGAAGCTACCAAGTTCTGGTGTCCTTGCCACCAAAAATGTCACGATTAGTGCATCGTGTCCCTGATCCATCCTTCATGGCTTTTGTTCGTCAGGAAGTGGCAAAACCTTGTGTCATGAGACACCCAGCGACCGGTATTTGTACCCTCTGGTTATTTAACACAGCCATGGTATAGATGGCCTTATGTTCACCACTTAGGCAGAATCCTATAAACTTGAAAATCAATTTATTTGTGAAAAAAATGTGAAAAAAATGTAAAACAAAAAAGCAACCAAAAAAAAAAAGCAAATCAAAATGCAAAAAAAAGCAAAAAAAAAGCAAAAAAAAAGCAAAAAAAAAGCAAAAAAAAGCAAAAAAAAGCAAAAAAAAAGCAAAAAAAAGCAACAAAAAACAAAAAAAATGAAAAACAGAAAAACATAGAATTAGATTTATATTTAAAATTAGTAAAGTTCTACTACAATTACTATAGTTATAATTGCAATCTCTTCAGAATAAGTAGACAATCATAATTATAATAAGTAGACAAAACATCAAGTCACTAGCTGGATGTGAAATCCACAATATCAAATTGGATATATCTGATATACGGATATAGTATTGAAATACAGATATCAGATATAGTATATTATAAAGTATGTAGCATATGGTATACAAAACATTTCATTTTTGAATCAAGCCTGGCCTCACAAAATTGCTTTGTCGCTTTGTGACATATTGGAAAAATTGTTTTGATGTTGTCAACTTCCCAAATTGAGGAAGTCTTGCAGAATTGCTTGATTTGGGAAAACAGAAAACATTACACAAAATTACAATGATCAGTACTACAACAATCACTACTACAACTACAACTGCACTCCACAACGCCGCTACAAGAAAATTACAACTTCAACCTAACCTACAACTACACACTATACAACCACAACTGCAACCTACAACCTAACTACATATCATTACATTACAACTACACCTGCAAGATACAAGACCTACAACTAGAAACTACAGATGCAACTACAACTGCAATTGCTGCAATTGTAACTACAACTTCAACCACCATCCACTACCACTACCCCTACAAAAAGTAGAATTACAACTACTAACTAACTAACTAACTAACTAACAAACTAACTAACTAGCTAACTAACTAACTAACTAACTAACTAACTAACTAACTAACTAACCAACTAACTAACTAACTAACTAGCTAGCTAGCTAGCTAACTAACTAACTAACTAACTAAGTAACTAACTAACTAACTATTCAATACAACAATACAATGAAATGAAATCCATTTCATTACAGCCATAATCAAAACACAACTCAAGCTACAACTACCACTATCACTACCCATACCCGTACCCCTACAATACTACAACTACAACTAGCAACTAGAATTACAATTGCAACTATAACCTTAACTGCACTACAAGTACAACGACAACAAACACTACCCCTACAAGTACACCCACAACTACAACTACCACTGCAACTGCAACTAGGACTGCGGCTGCAACTGCAACTACATTGCAAATTACAACTGACTTACAACTACAACTGCAACTTAACTACAGTAACTACTAACTACAACTACAACTACGCTGCTACAACTACATTGCGCTGCCTCCAACCACTTCTCACTTCTCAATCCATCAGCAGGCTCGCTCTGCCATCCCTGCGTCACAACTAACTAACTAACTAAGCGACTAACCTCTCCTAAATGGTTTTCTGTTTCCGATATTTGAAACTTCCGCCACCACCTTTTGGTAATGATGGATAATGAGTAATGAAATGAGTAATGAAATGAGTAATGCGTAATAAGTAAGTAATGAGTAATTAATGATGCAATGTAGTTTAGTTTAGTAAAGTTTAGGCAGACGTGCCATATATTTGTGTAACTCTGCCACACTATCACTACCACTACCAGCTACAAAACTACAACTACAATTACATCCCTAAGACAACTACAACTACAACTACAACTACTACAACTACCCTTACTTACAATCTTACAACTGCAACCACAACTAGTCACGAAAGCTAGCTTGCTAGCTGGAGTTGGCTTTCCTTTAGGAATGTATTGGGGGCAGTCTTTGGGAAGAGGCAGTGATCTATCACATCAAAGGTTTCTGGCTGAAGTGAACCATTCGCATGAAGGGCCCCCCCCCCTCTGCAGGTTCAAACCCTCCCTGGTCCATGTGTTTTGAAGGGGTCACGGAGGGTCCCTTCTTTGGAGAGAAGACAGAGTGATGGATATCACAAGAGTGCAAGCACCCAATTTGGTATTGTCACATCGCGTTGACGCATCTTCTCCCGGGTTCTGCGTAACTTGACAAGACGCGGCTAATTTCATGACAACCTTTTGAAGCATTTGACATGCGACTGTGCCAAGTCACACCAATGCCAAGCACAATGTAGGGCCGGGGATGTAGCTTCCTTGGCCATACCGGGCCATACCGTTACCAGCCGCTTGTCTCACCCACCACCTCACTTCGTCCTAATCCAGTATCCGATTTGGTACTGCTATTTTGGCACCGCAACTTGAAAGCATCCGCTTTGCTTTCCCTCTTTTTGCACACTACAGCAAAGCATCCGATTTGGTACCGCTACTTTTGCGTCACAAATTCAAGGCCGCTGTACTTTTGACTTGAAAGCATCCGATTTGGTACCGCTCCCTTTGCAACACAACTTCCAAGCATCCGATTTGGTACCGCTGCTTTTTCACCACACTTCAAAGCATCCTATTTGGTACCGCTACTTTTGCAACACACCTTCACAGCATCCGATTTGGTACCGCTACTTCAGCACCACAACTGCAAAAAATCCAATTTCATACCGCTACTTTTGCAACACGCCTTCAAAGCATCTGGTACCGCTACTTTTGCACCACAACTTGATACATTCGATTTGGTACCGCTACTCATGCAACACAACTTCAAAGCCTCCCATCTCCCACCGCTACTGTCCCAACATAAATGCGAAGCTTCCGATTTGGTGCCGCTGCTTTTGACTTGAAAGAATCCGATTTGGTACCTGGTACCATGCCAAAATAACACCGTAGAATCCGTAGAACTGTCTTGCGGCGTGCCAACATAACAGAAATCAATGCGTTCTCTCAGCTGCCTCACTCAGAAATCTCGTTGGTTTACCCTTCCCACTTTCAAATTGATAATTTTCGTTCCCTTCCCCTTTGGCCTCAAGTAACTACAACTAGAATTACAACCGTAATTACAAGTATAACACTATAACTTAAACTTAAAATTATTATTATTATTATTATTAATTCCGCATCAGTAATTCGATACGATGTTTCTGAGCAAATGTGGGCGTAACTTCTGCGTGGGAAAGTCGTATGTGGAAGAGTTAAGACAGAATCACGAGTTGAGTTGTCTCTTGAAGGACTGCCAAGGTTGTGGGAGAGGTGGGTGTGCATGAGTCGGTTCTGTGAGGGTAAGTTGTGCATGGGTAAGCTGTGTGCGTGTGTATGTATGTTGTGTGTGAATATATGATATTAATCATGCTGATAATGTAAGGGTGTAGTGATCAATGATTAATGTAATGATATGGAAAAGTGGTTGTGTATGTATGGCTCAATTGAGAGCAAGTTGTGTGTGGGTAAACGTTGTGTCGCATGTCTGTGAAAAAGAGTTGAGTTGTGGTTTGAGTCGACTTGAAGTCATTGAAGGTGTGAAAGAATTGTGTACAGTGTACAGTGTTCAGTGTAGTGTATAGTGTAGTGAGTCAGTTGTGTGTGGGTAAGTCGGGCAGGTGGTGTGTGAAAGGTTGGAGGCAGGAGGGAGGCGGTGGCAGGCATGCAGAGCAAAAAAACAAGAACCACACACACACACACAGTGCCACGGGGCACAACATAGCGTTACCAAGGCAAACCAAATAAACTGATATAATATAATAATATAACTATTTTTTCAAACAATGGTTACCGGTTTAGATAGTTTAGTTGCTTAGTTTTAACGGATTTAGTTGGTGATGCTCATATATGGAATAGTTACCTGATAGTTGATGTTGTGATTGTTTGTTATATGGCTAGCGGCTAACCTAACTGAAAACATAGCTGAAAACCGAAAACCGTTAAACCAAAAACGTCATGGAACATATGTTTTTGGACCATGTGTTTTTTTCATGTAACTTGTAAATGCAGTCGTGTGGTGTCTTCGACTTAGACATCTGGCCGGGTGGTGGTGATGTATTTTCAGATTTATTTATTTTTTTGTCCATGTTTTTTTTGCATGGATTTATTTGCATGGATTTACTCACATGGATTTATTCACATGGATTTTTTTCGCATGAACCAATTTCCTGTTTGCAAAACCGCAACTTGAGTGAACTAAGCTAAACTATATACAACTATTTTTATTTTATTTGTTTTTTTAAATTTGAACCGCAGCCACAATTTAAAATTATCTATTTGTTTTTAGCGCACCGTTTATAAACTCAACAAACCACAGCCAAAATGAACAAGTTTGAGCTGTGCTGCTGCTACAACTGGGATGTTTGACTGATTTTTTTTTGAGGGACTGTTTGGTGAGAAGTGTTAACTGGCCTGCCTGTCACGCGGAGTTTTGGCAACCAGCACTCGATCAGCTGGAGCTTACGTTCTTTCCTTGAGATCCCTGTTCAAAAAAATCGTTTACCCAGCTCAGCTACGTGCTAGCTAGCTGCTAGCTGCTAGCTGCTAGCTAGCTAGCACATCGCTGGGTAAGCGATTTTTTTTGACCAGAGATCTCAAGGAAAGAACGTAAGCTCCAGCTGATCGAGTGCTGGTTGCCAAAACTCCGCGTGACAGGCAGGCAGAGATGTGTGACTACCTCGTCGAAGAGGAGTCACTCCAGGGCAACTTTTTTGAGCTCAAAAAAAAATGCAAAAAAAATGCAAAAAAAATGCAAAAAAAAAGTAAAAAAAAAACAAATCACAAAACAATGCAAAAAAATGCAAAAAAAATGCAAAAAAAATGCAAAAAAAATGCGAAAAAAATGCGAAAAAAAAGCGACCCAACCAGAGCAGCAAAAACAAAAAGCAAAAAAAAAGGGAAAAAAAAGGGACTCACCACTGAACCGCCTGGAGGCACCTCAAAAAATTGCAGCACTCCAGTTTCCAAGGCAGACCTAAAATTTCTTAACTCG